TATATAATAAAAAGCGGGAAATATTACTTCCAATATAAATATGATTATTACTATTCCATATAGTTATAGTTTGGATCATAACGAAGTTTTTTTCCCTTTTGATTTCCAGTTAGACTTTAAAAGTTGGGAAAAATGCAGCTGACTTCTTTTGTGAAAAGACACGGCTTCTCGCTGAACCCAAGGGAATCCTCCAGGCCGATCTTAAAGAACTACCGATTCTGGATTGACATGATGCGATCCATTGTCACGTAGTACAAGCACAAAGACCTTTTCCACGTGGATGAGTTGACGATGTACTCGGACGCTTCGCCTACCGGGGTGTCAGTGTCGACGACACGGCGCAGGATAAACCCGATACCAGTCTGAAGAAGACGACGGTACTGTTATGCTGCAACGCCTCCGGCACCGAGAAGCTGCCGTTATTGATCTGTGGCTCTTATCTCACTGCGATAATGGACAAGGATTACATGTACAGTCACAGTGAGGACACCTCGATAAACGACGGTCTCTTCAGGGAATGGCTGGCACGGTTGAACTGCCGTACGTCGCATGACCTTGCTGCATAAAAATCGCATCGGCTCTTTTCGGGCAACTTTCAAATTGGGCAACATTAATCATGTCTTTTTCCCCCCCGATGATTTCCCGCCGTCGAGGCCTCTGAAGAGAGACGTCTTTCACTTTGTCAACACGCTCTAGAGACGCAAGTATGTTAACGAGCAGCAACTGTTCATATTAATCCACGTTGCAAGAGATTGATCATGTGGTAAAATTCATTACGATCGGGTAAAGCCCGTATTAGACCAGGGTTTGAGATTGAGATTAGATTGAAATTTGACCCGTCAGAATAAAGTTTACTATAACATCAAGTTTAATGAATTTTACTCTGGTTAGTCAATCTAATCGCAATCTCAATCCATAGTCTGGTACGGGTTTAATATAATTTGTAATTTACTATGCTAAAATTTAAGCTGGTGAAATTTTGCGGAATGTCGACGCTCAATTTACAATTTTGGTGTTGAAATAATTTTTATTTTTATTACTTTATTGGACGTAAATTCGGGTAATAAGTATTTAACAAATTTTAAAACTCTAAAGTTTGATAATAATAAAAATTCTCTACGGGCTTTGAATACGAAAGACGCGAAAGAATCACCGAGATCAAACCAAGCAGGCTGCAGTAACTTTATCTGTGAAACTTCATCCGCGAAACTAATAGAACAAACTTGGACCGTCAACGAACATTTTCAGAATATCTTTCATTATGCAGAGGCGACTTTTGCAAAATTTAACTTTCGCGAAATACCTCCCGTAATAAATAGAAGCTTGCGCCTCAAAGGCTTAATTATCTTGCCTTGCAAGGAGCTATCGGAAATATTCGCCGTAGGTATGTGAAAGGAATCAGAGGACGCAGACGCCGATGGAACGTCGAGAACGTGAGAAGCTTGACGGAAGCGTGAAGGGAAGTCCCGCGCGATCTCGTTATCGCCATCGCCAGTTTTCAGCGAACGAGCTTCCGAACTGACGATTGCTTCCGTTGCGACGCATGGGAGGACCTGGAGACGGGGGTATCTTTCAGGAAGTTCGTCGCGTTCGCTGATTATCTCTCGGCTAATGCGTCGCATAAACAGCGCGAATCCCCCGGCAGGAGTCACAGTTATAATCTCAGAACCAGGAAAGCCTTCGGATTCGATGATCTGCTCATTCGCGCGATTAATTCGAGGGTGAGGGACCTGGTTGCTGGGGTCGAGCGAGTAGAAATTTAAAAGAGACCTGTGCGGAAAAGGACATCGATTGGAAGAGAAAGAAATTGCTGAAGAGATCGCATGGCAAGCCTCAATTAGACGAAGACCTTTACGAAGAGGCCAAGTCGAGCGATGAATCAACGTCGGGGGAAAATGAAGACATCGCCGTTATTCCAACGTCGTCGGCGAAGCCTCCGAAGGTTATCGACATCCGGACGATCGAAGGTACAGCCGGGCGCTTTAAATGACGTCCACCTGACAACGCAAGCGAGCATGAACAAATCGAGGGCGGACACGGAATACGATTGTATGCTCGATAAAATGGCCCGTGAGGAGTGATGTAAAAATAGTCGAGTGCCGAGCGATCGATCAGATCTACGGAGGTCGGGCACGATGACGGCATCGCGTTGCAACAAGTGTTCGACGATACGTTTGCCGTTGATTCGGACACAAAGGAACCGAACGCGAGGGTGGTTTTCCTGCGCCACCCCGAGAGACGAGACGGAGTCGACCGAGCCGGACAGAGATGTCTGCCGCAGAAGTCGCTGAAGAGGCGTTGCCGACGCTGAAGAATCTCGAAACGACCCCGACAACGGCGAACCGGAGCGGAAGAGATCGAGAACCGATTGGACGAGGCAGTACGGGACTTCGTCCCGTCTGACTCGGCGCGAACTGTAACTACTGTTTCCGCCGACAGTGATGACGGCGTACCGCAATCAATGAGACAAAGGTGCTCGTGCGAGACGCGGAGGAGGATCTTTGCCACGCCCGGGTGGGGTTGAAGACGATCTTGACTTACGGCGAGCGAATGCACCTGCAAACGTGATCTTTGAAAAAAGTAACGAGACACCAATCGTAATCTTACAACTTTCCTACATGTTCTCAAGAATTGTGTAATTACGACACGAAAAGAATAATTTATTCATTAGCGTGGTGCTATTTTTCCTGTACGTTCTCTTCTCTTTTTCCGACGCTTTAAAAGAAGTAGAAATGCAAAAAAACTAATGACTTTCTTGAAATTTAGAGAGAGATGATGGACGATCTCGGGAGACTCGATCGACGTAGGATCGTGTGCAATCGAATATCCAATTATATAGTAAACAAGTTTAAAAAAAAAACGACGAAAGTTATCACGCTATAAATCTACTACATTTCTCATCGATGAACGTACTCACGTGAGTGACGATTTACTAATTGCAATCGGACCAGTTGATTGCATGGGTCAGGAAATAAACGCCTGAACAAAGGAAACTTCCTACGAATTATTATTGCAGAATTTAACACGGCGCGCTGTACGAAGAGAAAATTCTCTTCGTTGTAAAGTCGTGTTTTCCCGTGATACGCAATCGAGCGAGCAATATGGAACTTAGAGTTCGGGCGAAAGTTAATAGTTTTCCCGGTAATTCACGAAAATCGCGTCCCCGCCCACGTGGAAAATTACATCGTTCCGAAAACATCAGTTCAGACTTGAGGCTCCATTGTGCGCTTCCGCCGGATTTCTTCGCCGGATGCAATTTCCCCGAGACGCGTTTCCGTACGAAACAAAGTTGCGCTACCGTCCAAGGATTCGTAACAGGGAGGGACGCGATTTCGGGACGACATCCCCAACCCTTGAATAATACGACTTGTACACCCGGCGCACATCGCTGTGAGCGATGCTGAAGGATTAATGGCGTGTCGTCACCAACCGTAATAATTCACAGTCAGAACCGGGATGGAGGAGTATTACGATTAAAACGATAGACAGATTACTTCGAATTTCGATAAAAGAAAGGAAAAGGATTTTCAATTTACATTTATTTAATATTGCGTATAAAAAATTATTTGATGCTGCAAAAACTAGACAATAATTTGAATTAATTATCGGCTAATTAAATTATCATTTTTAATTAAATTATTCTCTAAATTATGCAAACTATTAGGTAATGTTAAGTACTTGTTAAATAATTGATTAAATTATTAAACTATTAAATGCCTATTATTTATCATCAAATAAATCTGCCACGCAAATACTTGCTAATAATATAATAAGAAGTGGTTTGATAATTTTATTTATTTAAATTTTTAGAATAAATATTTTATTCGTATTTTTTAAGGCAGGTTTTCCCCCGTCAAAATATCACTCAAACAGACAAGAAAAGATTAATTAAAAACTCTAAGGAGACATGAAGGCGTTCCAAAGTATGTTAATTAAAATTGACCTTTCAGAGTGTAGAGGACACCCTGTAGAAAACTGTGTAGATCCATCACCGCCTACTCGGATTTTTTTGTAACATTGTTATCGAGCTGTGTATATGTGTACTTTAATACTTTGTGAGCTACGTGTATATCCTCTTCAAGAGTACACTTGCATGAAGACATTTAATGCGCTTGCTTCTAGCTGCACGAAAGACATCATTACATACAGTGCATGGGCGAGATGCAATTTATCATCGTGCAACTTAGCAACCGTCCTCATGCTCAACATAATCGATTTCCGTTGCCGTACTCATTCGAGGATACCAGCACCATAGATCTCGAGTCTTAGGACAAAGTGCACTTTGGATTTATAATTCATAACAGAATATAATTTTTTTATAATTTCATAAAACTTGTGATCTACGGAGACTTCATTCTGACGCGAATTATAAGTTATCTAAAAGTCCGAGGAGTCAAACTTGCAAAAATCTAAATTCGACGCAAAGTATCGACACAAAAACGGGTACTAATTGAAACATTCGAAAAATCATGATTCTAGGAATTTCTAGAGTTTTTAGTTTGTTTTTTCTCGAATTGCAAAAATGAAAATATCGTCTTGACAAAGTATCAGAAATACATAATTGTAAAAATGGGGTTAATTACAGTGTAAACTAAAATTTTAAGAAAGTTTTAAGTTAACGATTCACAAACGCGAAAAATTGATTTGGTCGAAAATCGATAAAATTGATGTATAATTAAGAGAGGGCATACATGAGAGACCAAACATAAAAATTGCAAAATACCTCCACTTTTATTTATTGCCTCCTCCCCTTTTTGGTTCGTGCACTATAATTAAGATTAGAAAAGGAGCAGGATGAATTAACCGTTACTATAATTCAATTCTAATCTTTACAAGTGATCGTTATACAAGCGTAATAAAGTAGGCGAGTTACGTTCTTAAAGTGGAAAGAATCGACAATTAAACTTTTATTCTTTTCTTCGGAGAAGAATTAGCGCTTTTTCGCCTCGTGATGACCTAATAGTTTCTCCCTCTTAATAAACTACAATAAACCCAACTTATATCAAAGATTACTTATATCTATAGTACAAAAAGTTCGAGACATTACAAAATTTATGTACATATAACATACAAGTTTTTATGTCTAACTTGTTCTATTAGTATTGTTAGAAATGTAGTAACACGCATTTCTTTTCAAGACTTTACATTGTAAATACTTTCCTATTGTCTACAGTTTCAATTATGTTACAGTACGCGCTGGAACATCAATCATGCCGCTAGAACGAAATGTATCTCGCCAGACATACAAATGCACATGCGCGCATAAAGTGTGCGAACGGAAATATCTGGTGAATACTGTTTCGCTGAGATAGAGTTGAAACATACGATAGAACCACGTCTTTCTACACTTACATCTAACTTTATCCGAGAGATACCTGCAGCCCCCAGGCTTCTCTTTTAAATGTCAGACTAAAACCTAAAAAGTCAGATATTATTTAAAGCAAAACGACATTCTGCGTCGGTTACTTATCATTATGATAAATGTAGAATTATGTAACTTCGCAAGGTAAACCGCGTAATGTTATCTGATATGCTCGAATTTCATTTATGGACGATAAAAATCAAAGTAACTTTCGTCACGAAGTTTATTATGTAACCATCTGTTTTATATTTGTACGACAAATTTTCAAGATTATATCTGTAAGATAAATAATTTTAAGGCATATATAAAATCAACTTGGCGGTATAAAAAATATACATATACATATTTATTGGAAAAATTAAAATAAACAATTAAACGTGTTTATTTTAATTGCCCCACTTCTTTTAAATCTCAACAATATCTTAGTTATATTAATCAATGTTATATTAATCAATATTATATCTATCAAATAACAGTTAACCTTTACAATTTTGCTATTCTGTAGGTGCGAAGCTTAGTTACATACAAACTTCCAGATATCAAAATAAAGCTGTTTAAGTGATGTATTTAATATCTTATCAAGATTTTATTAAAGCCCCATAGAATTACTAATATAGTAATTCTTTACTATATAGTACTTTACTATATACCAATACAGTAATTACTAATATAACAATTTTTTGCCGAGAAGTAAAGACAGGTGGAAACAGAGGCTTGTCGACGCTTTCAGTCACCTAGCGATTTAATGTTACAATATTGAACCGCTTGAATAACGGACAGTGTTTGCTGCACTATCTCGGCGTGCACCCCCAACTCGTCTTGGTCGGCGTTTACAACGACCCACGTGTCGTCTCTTAAATTGTCGTAATTGATGTCGACGCGCTGCTGAAATTCGTCATGCTCAAACCTCTCCTTGCCCCAGTCACTGCGCAGCTTCTGGTACTGCTTGGACACCTTGAGCAACACCACGCAGTCCGGCTTCGGGAGGCCCAGATCAGCCTGCTGGCACCACCAGAGACATCTGCCCGTGTTGGCTGCCGTGTACACAGCACCGGAGGCCGCGTATCTGTCCATCACCAGAGTGACGCCGGATCGGAGCTCCTTCTCCATGTCCTCCTTGCACTCCCAGCGATTGGCGGAGAACAGCAGGTGGGCCGCCTCCGGTGGCAGATTTATCTCCTTCGACAGAAAGCTATTCAGGACAGCTCCAACTGGGGTCTTCCTGTCTGCGAAAGAAGAAACGTTCCGTTAATTACACAAAGTCGATACAATTTTGATAACATTAAACTCTATGCCCGGAGTAATTTAGATTAGTTCGAGACTTCTGGAAATTATGCATTCCTTGACTGGCGTAATTAATTCTGTCAGAACTAATTAATTACTCTTCATTTAACATCAATCGTTAAAGAATTATTTAGTTAAGATTATGAGAGGGTACATATATGTACAGTAGCTTTGCGAATTGAAACATTCCTCTCACACATACATTACTTTCGTCGCTTTCTAACGATTTTAACATTGCTACTATATTATCTTAGAGTTTTAGAAAATTGGGATTACGGTCAAGCGAAGAGTCTTTTGTGCGAAATAACACATTATCTGGCTTTTCCCTCTTAAAAGAACTCTTCACCGTCGACCGTTAATCTTTTCGAAACGGTGCGATACAATCTGTCGAGTTTGTGCGTCGCTCCATAATCGCAACGATTTAAGTGTGACATTGACAGCAACAACGCCGACACGACAAGTAACAATATTCCGGATCGTACGTGTGTACTTGGCACATTGTCATTTCTCGACACGTCTCGTTAGTCGGCGAATCCGCTTGGACTGACGGTTCAGCAGGACCTTTTTCCCGCGCAAAATAACCTAGTTTCACGACACGCGGCCCGCGACTCACTTGGGAATGCCCAGGCCTTCGCCGGGATCTGCATATCGTTGAGCGCGCTCATCAGCATCTTCACCTGGGTCGACTTGCCGGCCCGATCGCAGCCCTCCAAAACTATCAACGCGCCGCGTTTATACATGTTCGAACGCCAATTCGCACGAACGCGACGACGGCGACGCCAGCTGATGCTAAATATAGAACAGTCGTGTGCGGCACCCGCCTGAACGCTGTCACGGTCCAGTTTTACGCGATCATCGAACGCGATGCGCCCTCTGTGAACATGTACGCAAACTACGTAGTCAATGTCCACGTTTGGGCTAAGCGGATAACGTAGATGTACACGTTTTGGTTGTGTTCCGTGCTGTGTGTATGAAATGTCGATAAAAAACAGAGTTATTGAATTTTCGTTATGCCCATTCTACACCTAGGGATGATCCTACTTGTGGCTCATCC